ATCGTACGATACAATAAATAACTAAAAAAAAAAAAAAAAAAAAAAAAAAGAAAATAATAATAGAAAACAGAAAATAAAAGCTTCGCATTTTATTTTAAGATCTCGCTGAATCTTCATCCATCTATCACGCATGTTCCAAATTGACAAATGAAAGAGAATGAATAATGAATCGAAGCGAGGAAATATTGTAAAAAAAAAGGCCAAGGGGAGAGAGGGAGGAACGAGACTACGTCTACCACGGTGAAACTCTTCTCGGAACTATTTATAAAGCACACGGTCTCGTGGTAGAACGCGGTTGCCTATCATGGTCGTCCCGCGTGCAAAGCAAACTGACCGGAACTTTCGCCCGCTTTCTCACCCTCGATCATCACCAGCCTTTTGCAAACTTGATCTCCCCACGGCCAAACGACGTGCATTTTCTGTCGATTATCGAGAATTCTTGCCGAGTAACGTCTTCGCCTCGAGAGTCATTGACACGACCTTTTTCCACAGCTTCTACTGTCAGGAACGTACTTATGAATATATGTATGGACACGTTGGAATGTCAGGAACTAGACGAGTGAGAAATTTCACGTAGGTTTTCCGTTGATTGGAAAGTTCGTTGCTAATAACTTCACAACTGGACCATTGACCAATGAAAAATCTATTTCAAACTTGATTGCGAAGAAAGATGTAGCAATCCACTTGGACTTATATATACGAAGCATAAAACTTTTATTTTGACAGTTGTGAGTATGTTTTTTTCCTTCTTTTTTTTTTTTTCAAAGATGTTCTTACATCATGTAGCAGGTAGAAAAATATCGTAGGATAATTTTATTCTCGAAAATTGTTGAAATTCAAACGTCTCTAGAAAAATATTTTTCGTGACTAAATCTACTATGGTGTTGGAGATGAAGATCTTCTCTTTACAATGACTCCTAAATCTTACTATGTACAGTACTATTTTATTAAACTTTGGACATTAAAGTTAAACGAAAGAACTTTAAGACTTTCTTGGATTTTCGTTTGGTGGTAATATTGAATGTTCAATAAAATGATGAAAATGGATAAGTTTTAAGAGGAGAGACATCGACAAATTTTCTTCTCAGATGTCTAGAGTCAAAAATGATTTATTAAAATAATAGAAATTTTATTTATTAAACTATAGATTTTTTGCATTGTTAAAAATTTCTTTAAAAAATGCGGAAAATACGTAACCATAACAATTTATGGTACGCAATTATCTTTGGAATTTCACAAGGTCTATAGATAGAAATTTGTCATGCGAAGGAACAATAGGCACAGAAAGCATAGAAAGCTCGTTCGTTCCTCAAAATACACTTTATGATCACGTTTCTCAGCGGCTTTGTTACTATTCTAAGGCATTAACACGAGGATCGTTCGTAAGCGAGTGAAAAGAGGGCTTCAATAAGTGATTGGAATGACGTTTAACAGGAATAACACGCGTGTTTTGCAGCCTTTGCTCAGCCTTAATTTCGCAGTTAAAGAACTGAATGAGAAAACGCTCCTTGGATTGCGCAACTGCACGCGGAAACATTTATTATAGTACACGAGGCAACAACTCGGATGTTTGTTTAACTCGAATTTTGAAAGATTCGCAGTCGACGTTGATGTGAGCTTGAATGAACACTGAAACACTTTTCTTATTTCTATCGATTCTTCGAATTCTTGAGAATTCATTAATCAGCAACGTTAATTTGCACCAATCGTTTCTGCTTATATTTATATTCCATTAGAATACATTTATATTTATTTATATTAGGTTCTGTTTTTAATAGATTTATTCGTTCTTTGTCTCTACAATGTATTCACAATCAGAAATATCTAATCTAATATCATACTTAATATTTAATTAGTTTAAAATTATCAGAAGTATATGTTGCGTGCATTTTCACATCGTCGAAATTTCCAATTCAGTTTCTCGTGTACTTACTATTTCAAAAAGAAAAAAAAAAAAAAAAGAAAATTATAGACTACGTTTTAACGATTAACTTCGTTTAATTTGATAGTTTGTACGACACATCAATATGTACAATTTCTAATGAATAATAGAATCAATAGTATTCACTGATCTAACGAAGAATCGTATGTATCAACAATGGTGAGAAACTTCTTAGAGAATAGTGTTAAGGTTGAGGGATAATCGGCGAATCACGGTTCCAAGTAATCGTGGTATACATTGTATCGGGAGCGTAGCGTTGCATAGAGAATCGGGCGCGGGGCACTTCCTAATTTCCGTATGCGCGAAAACGGGTCAAAGTTATTTTCGCGCGAGGCTTGCCGTGTACGAAACACCCGCCAACGCTTGCCTGCCCATCGAGAAATGCACCAGGCTAGACCTAGAGTCGTTTCATTTCACGTTCTGGACCTGGACGCTCGCCTTTTCGCGGAAACGCCGCATTCGAGAATCCTGAAAACGCGTGCTCGGTTGCTCTCTCGCGTTTAACTATATCGACCCTGTCCGACGAAAGTGGCTCAATGTCGCGGTGAAATAAGAAGAGAACTGACGAATTCTTCACTTTTTTTTCTGCTGTCTTTTTGTTGTTGTTGTGTTGTGAAAAAAAAAAAAGGTTGAAGAAGAACGAGGTAATTGAGATCGAAGATAGATTCAAATGTTTCGTATTATATAGCAATAAGTTGGACGAAGAAAGGTGAAGATCTTTGATTTGGACTTGAAATGATTGAAAGACGACGATTTGGAGATATTTTTATGGACGATGCCTGACGATTAGAGTGTGGATTTTTGTCCATTTGTTAGAAATTTGAAAATACGCACGTAAAATATTCAAAGTGCTCTTGAAATCCGAAAAAAGTACTCTCTTAGTAAGCAAAATAATTTCCTATTCAAGTTTCACTTTTCTAATTCTAATTACGAATTTATGTAAATATCTGCAAGTCTAATGAAGATTAACTTAGGTATTAGGAGAGAAGGAAGATGGAACGCGAAGAAGTTGGAGAAGTAATTGGGAAAGTTCATTTGAGTAAAAATAGATCATTTCACAATGTTGTGAAATTGGGGCAAGAGTGGTGAAAATTTCTGTAATAATATAGAACCGCGTTGTGATAATGATAATAAATAATAAATAATAAATAATAAATAATGATAATAAATATTCAGAGAGGAAAGATTTTGAAAAGTTTATTTATATTGTTAAAATTCTCTCAGTGTAAAAAAAAAAACTTAATGGTGAAAAGTTGTTTAAACAAAAATATTGTGATTAAGTAGGAAAGATACAAATTTTTGTTTCTAACAGTGGAAAAGTTGGAGTGGAACGTAATATTGGTGAAAATAGATTAAGCTCGTAATAATAGTGTGATTGAACAAAAAATGAAAATTACTTTTATTAACGAGAGAAAATTGGAAAGTTTGCGTTGAATAAAAATTTCAAAAGAAGAAGTGAGAAATTCTTCTCTTGAAAAAAAAATGTGAGACAGTTCAGATGAAGCTGATGACAAAACTGAAAAAAATAAACTATTATCAGTATTATAAATTATCATCAAATATTATTAAAAAACAAGTAGAAATGAGTCAAGAAGAAAAGAAAGAAATATCAGAAAGATCATTGATTATCATTACTATAGTTTGGAAAAATATTTAAAAAGTCCAAAGTAGAATATCATCAAAAATTCGCAGTCTATTAATAATAGAATAAAAATAGCAATTTCTTGTAACAAATCTAAAATAGAAAAAAAAAAAAAAGAAAAAAGATGAAATCTTTCTGCTTGTTCTCTGGCTTCGTTTATTATTTCATCGATTTATTTTTACTGACGTTTGTAATATCTTATGAATATCGACAGCTCGCTGATGGATGATGTTTGCTTTGGGTTTCAGGCGGCCAGTCGAAGATCCAGAGGATCAAAATGTCGGAGGCGGAAGGTGAGGTCTTCTTTACGAGCTGGCGTCACGATCTTCTTTGAATATCTTTGGCCTACGATTATTACGAGTATCGTATGAATATAGATAATGAACGAGCGAGATTGGTCCACACAGGGAAAAATGTACGATTGATCGTGGTTGTTGAACAAATACGAAACGGTGTACGATTGCTTTTTTTTTCTTCTTGCAAAACGTAACATCATTAACGAAAAACACTGTTTCTTCTTTTTTTCTCTCTCTTTCTCATTCACTGTCTCTCTTCTTTGAAGTCTGATCGCATCGAACAAATTGAATAAAGGATGTTCTATGCACGTGACTACTAAAAAAAAAAAAAAAAAGAAGCATTAAAAAGGAAAAAAGAAACGCGAGAAATGAAATAAAAATAAAATGCGTACATCTTTCTGCGATGTAACCATTGCTGTGTTTTCTGTTGCATTAACCTTTTGGCAGGGAAAAAAAGAAAATTGGGACAACTGTTAAATTTATTAGTATGACTCTAATATACTATGATACATTTCTTTTGGTCGTTTAATTCTTACTGTATTTAGAACTTGAATTACACATGAATTATAATGTTTGAGAGTCACATTTATACATCACACATAATAAGAAAGAAGATTTTCTAATTCTTCATCGTTCTATCATACTGTCAAAAGGTTGAATTGCGTGTGGCATAAAAAAAAGAGAAATATTCATCAGCATTTCTTACTAAACAATTTTGTCGATCAACATAATCGATCGTATTTGAAGCGTAGGAATGATCGAAACAATGAGTCAAAGATTGCATTAATTATTATTGACATTTATCACTAGAGTGCTTACGTTTTCTCAAATATCAGCTGACGTGTTTTAGTTTCAGAATTAACGCTGGAACTATCAAATTTATATCTAAATGAGTTTTATAGTTAAAATAATAATAATAATACTTATTACATAGTTAACAGCTTTTGACAAAGAAAGAATTACATATTAATATTAATTATTTATAATATAATATTAATATATGATATAATATATAATATTCAGATATTCAAAAAGAATAACATTTTTCCCATTTAACACTTCATTTTTTCAATTCATTTTTCCATGTAAAATCAGCTCCTTTCTGATTGTACCATAAAAACTGCACATATATATATATATATGTAAAATATATATAAAGACAGGATAAATGTATATCACAGAGCAGTATATACATATACGTATAATATCACATATCCTTTACTACAATATTCTAGTAATCTATCATTATGTATCTCGTACTACAATACTCTACTAATCTGTTATTACAAATTAAACACTGGTAGCTGAAGCGTTAATTAAAAGCCGCTTAATTCTCTCCACTTTCTCGAGTTCCACTTGAATATCATAAAATCCTTTTGCAGATGTTCAAACCGTCGTGGAGAACCATGATTTCCAGAGCATTGTCGAGAGTGGAAGCGGTAGATCGAGCATCGTGGATTATTTAGACACCTACGACATCCCAAAGAAAACCGTGAAAGAATATTCAGAAGAGACGAAAGAGGAATCATTCAAAGAGGAAAAGGAGAAGGAGACGTACGCGGTGGACGAGAGGAAATCGATCGAAACAGAGAAGAAAGAGGTCGTACAAACAGGTTCGTGACGCACGGTAATTCGAGGATAGATGGATCACCTGTTTCGAGTCGAACGAATCTAGTTAAGCACAGTTTCGTGGTGTTAATTGCGCAAAACAATTTTCGAGGATCGTTGAATCCATCTTGGATTTAGCATCTGTTATTTTTGGGCCGAATCATCGGGTAACTTCGATTTAACAAACTTATGTAACTGTTATTTTCTATTGATCGTTGCAATAGAGGGAGTACTACGTTGCGACTTGGATAAATTTGGACGAATCGACTCGAAAAATTCATAATTGTGTAACCACGTAACCACATGTTTAGAGATGAATTAGTTTATTTTATATTTATTTATTCTGACGAATACAAAGTTATATTATTATACTTGGAAATCTTTATTATTTTTGATTAATTTTCATTGTAATTGTTTCATATTACACATTCGCATTTTCAGTGTTTCTTATTGAAAAAAAATTTCAGATCCATTAATGTTAAGCGGTTAAATATTATTGGATGCAATACTTAACTGTTCATAAGAATCTGGATATTTTGGTAGATTGTTTAAGATTATTTCTTAACTAATCTGAATGTAATTTTATTGAAAGATTTTCATAAATTATAGAAATAGAAAGTCAATAGAAAATTAACAATTAATGCCTGTTTCCTATCTCCTTGTAGAAATAGTAAATCATAAATTAAATCTTATTGAATTTTAGAAACATTAGACAACTATCCGAATAATTTTGAACAGTATTGCATGCACTTATGAAACAAGGATAACTACCATTTTATATTAATCACTATACTATGGACAGTTATTATAATACGTAGAGTCTACAAAAATTTCTTAAACCAACTCTGAATTTGAATTTACAAACTCAATTAAACCAAGTAGAAATATGAGAGATACTCTCACGAAGATCAAGATGTAATTCCACTTTCTCAGTTACCAGTTAAGAAGAACCCTACTAACGTTATCCATGAAATTGATGTAATAATGGAAGAGGTTGATCCATCTGGCTCTTTACCAAAGAAGCTAATCACGAGTAAGAGCTAACCATTCATGAGCAAAAGACCTATCCCCCTTACACGAATCAACTTGACAACTTTTACTGTGCGGAACGTAAAGGAACGTTTTTCCCAGAGAAAGGAGAACGTGGAGAAGAACCGACACGACGTAGAGTATCAAAAACTGGTTCGAATTTCGAATTCACGCTATTCACGCGTCGCCGATCTCTCGTCTCGCGGCTCTCTCTGTCCTCCGGCGGGCAGGTCCGCGAGGCGTTGAACGAGCGACCGAAAATAAATCCCCGCGGAGAATCCCGTAGCTTTTAAATAAAGCGAGCGCGCGACTGCCGGTCAAGCTGAGCGGCTGCTCCTCCTCGCGAAAACGCGTTTCACGCGTTCCTCTTCCGTCTCGAGCCAACACACGCCGACTTATTCCACTTCTATACTCTACTCTTGACTCTCGCCAGTCTCGCTAGAAAAGAAACAAGAGACATCGAACACGCAGCGTAGTCTAGTTAGAAGAATAATGAAAAGCGACGTAAGCATAAAAAAGATGTGGCACGGAAATCAGTGAGAGAAAGATGAATCTTCCTTTGACGTAGATCTTCCTCGTGTGTCGTGCTCGAATAGGGGAATAAGTAAATAATTGGAGCGAGAAAAATAGATCTGCACATCTCGTGTATCGTTCGAAAGAAATGATAGAGAGGAATAGAAGGGAATACGAGGAAAATTAATGTATTTTCGTATATCTCGCTACCTCGTGTACTTCAGTACACGAAGAATCAATGACTAGAAAGGCAGACTTTTCTTCGTGCGTCGTCAAATAAAAATAGAAAACGAAAAACGAATCGAAAAACGAGAAAGATAAATTTCTCTCCGTGAAAAGATAAAAATTCACACGTCGTAAAAAAGAAAAGTAAAAGAGGATAAATTCTCCCTCGTGTGTCGTGCTCTCTCATGCACCTTGAGAAAAGTTAAAACTAGGAAAGACTCGAAGCCGAAGTAGACCTTCCTTCGCGAATCCCGTG